CTGTGTGCCTTGGCAGTAATAAAACATGTCTCTGATCGCGTTAGCTGTAGAGTCAGGACACCTGTCCTCATTCAAACACTTTCAGGTAAAGGGAATCACTTCATGAAACACACTTTCATTATACTTTAGATGCAGAAATGTCGGTAAATTACCCAAAGCTTTAGACACTGAAACAGGTTTGTGTTCCCTTGAACAGCAGTCCCTGAGTAAAACCCTGTGATGATGTGAACAGAAACTTTATGATGGTATTTGGGGCATTTTGTTTGATCACCTTGGATCCATTAAAGTGGGATTAAATCCACATGTTTGCTATTTTCTGAATGTCTGTCCCACTCTATAGCCCCTTGCATGTTATCTACAGAAGCACACCTTCATAAAACACACCTTTATAGTATTTTTAAGCTTCTTTTTCACTATTATTCACCAGGTTTTCACATGTAGCAACAGGAAGCTAGGTTAGCTGGTGAAGTAGCATATTGTTATTAGCTCGTGATGCTAACAGTGGCTAGCTCTCCAGTTATAACGTATCAACATCCGGTTCACTAAAAACACTCAACGCGCTTTCAGAGGATGAAATGTATAAAATAGAGAGAGTTTCTTACAGTTTTCGGTCTGTTTATCTTTCCTCCCGGAGCAGGCATGTTCTCACGTGGGGAGCAGTCTTCTTCTACGGTTTTAAGTTCGGTCAGTCATGAGGGCTGGCGGATCAGTGCTGCCCCCTCAGGCCGATACACGCATTACAGGCTTTATTTAGTCAAGGTAGATATTTCTTTTTAGTATTTTATTTTTCTAATATTTTAAATTCTATATGAAGAAGGTGCAAATAAGTCACAGAGAAGCTTGGTAAACAAATAACTCAATATATACATAATTAAATAGGAATAAAACAAATAGTAAAAAACGTAAAAATCTATTGCTTTTACTGATTAAATATGTTTCTTTAAATGTTTAAATATAGCCTCAGGCCGATTGACACATTACAGGATTTATTCAGTCAATGTAGATATTTATTTTTAGTATTTTAATATTTTTTTGAGTGCATATAAATCATAGAGAAGCTGCTGTTTAAAATCTGTAAACAAATCCTTAAATATAATAGCCCTTCAGTCAGTAGTGTTTCATCGCCTCCCCTATAACAAGGAAGCACAAGAGAGGCTCAATTCCACCTCTGAGCACCTCTCCAGAGATGCATGGTTGGCGGCTGCTTGGAAGCAGGAGTGGGGGCTACCCGGACCCTCCCGCATCCACCCCATGCATCCACCCTACATCTGGGACCCAGGAGATGGCGCCATAGCAGGAGACCAACTACCACGTCGGCAATGGACCACACTAACCCGTCTACGAACTGGGGTCGGTCGCTTCCAAACATCGATGAAGACGTGGGGCCTGGAAGAGAGTGCTGCAGCCGAGTGCGGTGACCCTGGGACCACCTGCCCTTTATATAGACCACCCTCGGAAGCCTGTCTCTTCGATTTAGGACCAGATTTCTCATCTTCGCGGTCGACTGTATATTTTTTACTTATTAATGCATTTAATTCTGTTTTGAGATGTTTACATTCTAGTATTGTTTATCTCTACTCTTTAATTTCTACTCATGTGCAATGCCTTGTTTTTGATACTGCTGCAACGCTAACATTTACCAATTTGGGATCCATAAAGTACCTCTTATCTTATCTCATCTGATATGAATAGTAAAATGTCCTTTTACTGATTAAATTGTCTAAATATAGCCCATAAATCCATTACACTAACATAATTCAAACGGTAATTTGTAAGTACACATACTAATGAAATCAACATTTTAATTCTAAAATACCCGTCAAACTTTCTTCCCAAATTTAAATCAAATATTTTAATTTAGATTATTTGTTTGCATTACAATAATAGGATTTTTCAGGATTCAGTTATAGTGGTGTATCAATGTAATTAATTATTAAGAGATATATAACTTCAGAGGACCCAGGATAAAACCCTATATTGAAATAAAATGAATAATAATAAATAAATGCAATGATTTAGAAAGATTATTTAGAGCCTTTGTTGCAGAAAAATACAGAAAGAATGACAGTAATTATGAATAAAATGTAGAACTTGAAGAGGAACCGTGATAGAGCCCTGGGGTGCACCACGAATACGGGTTTTAATGTAAAACTCATTTTTTTGTGTCTCAAGTCCCCAACCTAAATATGGAGTGTGGACTGCTACTTGGAGAGGTCCCAGTTAACCTCCTGCCCTGCCGTGGTGCCCTTGAGCAAGGAACCGGAAAACCCCCTTCCCCCCTCACTCCCATTGATCCTAGTGCTAGACTCCTGGTGCTAGACTCCTGGTGCTAGACTCCTGGTTCTAGACTCCTGGTTCTAGACTCCTGGTTCTAGACTGGGATGGGTTAACAGCAGAGAACAAATGTCACTGTGCGCTGTGTGCTCTGCATGTGAGACCATCAAAGAGGGTTTCTTCCCTCCCCTTCTATCTATCTAGAAAGCGACATTAAAGAGACGTGAGACTGCGAGGAGGATTCTGTCAAATGTTTAATCCGTTCAGTACAGGGTGTTTATCTCAGTGCAAGAGCCAAAACCAACACATATCGAGCCGTTTGGTTTGTGTACAGAGAGTTTGAGAAGCAGAGCATTTGGTGGAAACAGAGGCAGCGGGACTCAAACACTAAATAAAATAACAAACCATTTTTATCAGAAAACATCCGAAAAATCAGCAGCGAGAAATAAAAAAAACTGAACAAAAACACAAAGAGACGACCGTCGTTTTTTCTTCATTTCATTCAACAACAAAGAACGTAATGGTATATATATTTATATTTATATATCTAAAGTGCATTATGGTACAAAAATATAGAAGGTCAGCAGCACCCCGATACATTTAGAAAAATAAATACACCATTCAGACGAAATAAATTACCAACATTATTGGAATAAAAAAGAATAAAAGCAAAGGATTCACAAAGAGTAACATCTGTTGCCTCGCAGCGCATCAAATACTTATCATCATCTATCTATTCTGATATATTTAGAATATTTACACACAATAAATATTTTCCAATTTCTTTCCAAATAATCACGTTCACAGAGAAACTGCAGCGTGAGAATTTAGGAGTCGAGTGTCCGCAGGTTTCTGAAACACAGAGAGGGAGAAATACATTAAATCAGAGTTTTGATAAATAGATATCATTCTAAATAATAATTAAGATGCAAAACTATTATATATAATATTGATTTTGTTGCTAAATATCTTTTAAAATGGCAAGAATTACATAAAAATACATTGTTTCTAGACCGAAAGACAACGTTTCTTTTATTTTAAAGAGTGATTTTAAAGCTTAAAACCCTTTAAAATATTTATTTATTTTAAAATGAACTAAAAGCCATATTTTTATTGTTAGTCTTTGACTTTTTAAAAATTATTATTTACCAGAAAATCAAAGATGTATTCAAAATACATTTGCAGGTATTTTCTGAAAGAAATCCAATGTTGAATTCCCATTGGACCGGGAGATGCTGCCTTCAGGGTCTCTTAAATAAAGTAGTAAATCTCAGCTCTCTCTCACCTGTGTCAGAGTTTGACAGCGTTTCACTTCCTCTGCAGTCCGAGCAGCGTTTTCCACTCCAACCCTTTTCCACTGCCTCCATCTTCTTCCTCTCTCCTCTTCCTCCCCGCTCTTCCTCCCTCCTCTTCCTCCCTCCTCTTCCTCCTCCCTCCTCCCAGTGATCTTTCCCTCCTCTTCCTCTTCTCCTCCCCTCCTCCTCCTCTCCTCCTTCCTCCTCTCCCTTTCTTCTTCTTTTTCCCCGGGGCTCTCGGAGATTTGTTGGTTTCCTGTGGGAGATTTCCTTTTTCCTTTTCCTCTTCCTCCCTGAAGATGAGGGGGAGGTTCTTGGTTCCCCCCGGGGGTTTTGAGTGCATGGTTTCTCCCGTGGTGCTCACCCCCACTCCCTCGGTGCTGGTTCCTCCCCCTCCAGATGGGGGAGGGCGGGGGGGAAGATCTCTGGTTTCTGCAGTGTGAACTTCATCCAGAAGCTCCTGAAGCCACATCCTCCTCTTCAGATCCTGCAGAGAGCGACCCTTATCGTGCATCAGCTGGGCGTGAGACACCGAGCGCTTTCTGAGGGACACACGAACAGGAAAGGGTTCATTATATTACAATTTACAGAGCTCCTTAGTCTGTCATATGAGGAGCACCGAGCGCTCTTCTGAGCACACGACGCAACAGGAGCAAGGCGCTCTGCGTATGTGATATTACAATTTACAGGCAGTTCCCTTGACTTCCCAGTATGAGTGTGCGACCTGGGGGCCTTTCTGCAGGCGACAATTACAGAGGAAATCGGTTTTACTAATTATGCTATTTACGC